AATTCATTTGCATCATCCAGTGGAATACATTTGTATTGCCTAACTTAAGAGTTAGGTATAAAAGCTGTTTATGAGAAGAGCGGATGCTGTCCCTCTTACATCCATAAGAGTAATCTTATCAAAAATTATTATCTCAGTTAAAAACAGTTTAGGTATTTTTCTCATACATAGTTGTGTTAAAATGAAAGATGATGTGAAAACATGAGCTGAAGCAAAACTTGGAAAGCAAGAGTCATCAGTTCTAATGAATATTAATGTCATTCCCAATCTCATTAATCATGGAACTCCTTAGAATAACAAGCTATATAATAGAATCTTTTCTGAATATTGAGTACTTGTATAGTAATACAATTGTACATGTCTGATAATTGCAATTTATCATGAAAATATATTTGATTGTCTTTTATCTTGATACTAGTCGCGACGCTTCTATTGTACACGAAAAAATTGATCGATGTGAATTACATTCAACGCGGTTGTTCCTCGTTACAGGAGCTTCACATCGATAAAAAGTTTATGTTGTACTAAATCTTGAAAAATTTCGGTATTTACAACCAAATCTAAAACTGAAATTTCTGTACAAATAGAGCTCTTGTACAGAATTTTTCTTTTTATTGTGTGAAAATAGTTTTCACTGCATCACTCGTCACTACACTCGATAAACTATAATCATGTTTACACATTTCTATTTAACCACCTACTAAAATTTATCTGTATTCTTGTCTGTCCACTTGATACGTACTAGTAGGCTCATGACTAACGTTGCGTAGCAATCTGCTTGGAATTTCCTACACTTGTCTGTGATCTTTACCTTCTCTAATACGTACCTCCAACCTTTTATAACTAATTTTAGCACCTCATATCGATATCTAATTTCTTACATCGATCCTTACTCTCTTATTCCTAAGTCGAATACCTTATTTTTTGTATATAACGTGTTATTTCTGTTCATATCATCTGATTTGTACGTCCAAATCCTTATAGATGTTCTTAAATCGTTACTCATAAACTTAAGGCCAAGTTTCTATCCGCGAACCATCTTACTGTTTGCATCGTTGATTATTTAAATGAAATCATGTCATCTATCCGTGACTAGCATCATGGATGATGAGACCTGAAAGCTATCATTTTAGACCCGAAAACTATCGTAACTCCCGTGAGTTGACAGATCGAGGGCTGAAGCGAGATCTTTCTATTGTATAATTCGTCCATATGCGGTCTTTTCTTAGACAATATACAGGGAAAGGTGGATCTATCGGAAAATTTCTGAACTATGATGCCCCCAGAAGGTGTTGAACGAGATCTATCGTACTGAAAAAATGCTTTTATGTTTTTCGAGGAATCACTTACAACTTGTATAAATTCATACGATATGGGAAAGATTCGGCAAATTTGCACAAGATCTCAAAAACTCCATATGAGACTTTTTCTTCAATATAAGCTACATTACAGAGATTTCTTTCATATGAGAATAATAAATCTTGTTATATGAGAGTCATAGAAAACATAGTATACTTATGTTTTCTTTCCTGGTATGCTATGTTATTCGTTCATGTTGTAAAACAACAGAATAGTAAGAAAAATAGATATGTTATTATTGATAAACTGATAATTATCAAGCAAGTACAGTTGTATTACGATGAAAGTACTCACTATTCCCAAAGATTCAATTGTATAACTTGTTATTCTAAGCTGTTCCATGATTAATGATATTAGGAACAACACTAATATTCTCTCAAAACCAATGACTCTTACTTGGCAAATTTTGCTTGAGCTCATACTTTCGTAGGACCTTCCAGTTCAACATAACTATGTATAAGGAATATCTCAACTATTTTCAACTTCTATTGACTGAAACAATAACTTTTTCTAATATGATTACTCCTGTAGTTAACAGCATAATTATGCGATCTCCTCATGAACAGATAAGTGCATAAACTCTTTCAGAAATAAGCATTACGGGTATAACGATTACAATAAGTTCTCATGGACTAAATTTCTGTGAAGAAATGGGTTCTAAGAACGTGTTTTTCCATAGTTGCGAAACGCGTTCTGTATCTGCTATGACAGGCGTTGTGAAACAATTATTTCTTAATAGCGTTGCGTATCATTCTGTTCAAAACGTGATACCACATTTTGGAAGACCTAAAAAAACTAAAACCATTCAGCCCTTCTTAGAACTTGAGTTATATCGATTCATCGAACTAGCGAGTTATCTTACATGAGTTTTCATAAAGATAAAAGATAGATTCGAAAACGAGAAAACAACAATTAAAAGACATAGGTATTATTCATTCAACTAAAATAATCGAATCATATTAGTGTTTATTGTATCGTGGTTCAGAGCCTTGTGCCAGCTTACTCAGATAGATTATCGGTATAATATTTCAAATAATGACCAATTATTTCTATCTTCGTGTTTATATCCAGGTATGGGTTTTATTTCCTCTAAATCATTCTATGTTCAACCTCTCTAAAATTAGAATTAAAATGCCGGATTAAAATAAATTTTATTGGATTCGAAATAATAATTTTAGTTTTGCTGAATTTACTTATTCAATTGATTTCTATAAAAGTACCTTCAACGCTCTCCATTATCCAACTATGTTAACAAATAAAAGACTTCTTTAGGTAAGATCAAACACTTTCGTACTTGTCTTTCAGGCAGCATGATCAGTCACATACCAACCAGGTTAGTCTGTAAACGAATTTACAATACTATCATTAAACCCGTAAATTATACGAAAGTTCTTTTTTCTTATATATAATCCAGCAAAGCTATGATACAGGTTATATTGCCACAAGTGTATCCTTCATACTTTCAATCTAATCTAGGGTTGACACCTAATCTTTATTTTACTTTGAAAAGTAAAACCATTCTAATTTAATCAGAAAATTGATAAAATCTATTGGCTTTACTTTATCAAAAAGTAAAGTTAGATATTCTACTTGACTCGATAAAGTGACGATAAAGTGCCACGCCTAATCTATTCAATATTTAAAACGTTACGAAGCGCATTTTCTTAAAAGGAGAATGCGACGAAATGAGTTTCGTAACGAGATCACACATACTTGAATTACATTCTGATGTACAATACAAGCCTAACTTCGGATCAGCGTTTGATAGCTTCGTAGCACAGTAAGTTTCCAGAAAAGTTAAATTCTGATTTTGCCTACAGATGACTTGTGCTATAATGTTCTTGATCGAAAACAAAGTGACGAGAAAACCTTTTGTGAAATAATTTCATATAGTTTTCAATATGATGCCAAAGGGCGAGTTTTGTTTAACTCATATACTTTATACATATGAATCACAGCATGATGTTGTTACAGAAGACACACATTTCACATTTTCTTCTAATTCATCGTCTACCAGTGGATTATTTGTTGAAAGAAGTGCGTTCCACAGTCTTTCCATTAGGAGATGCTTCTAGAGATAAGCATGCAAAATAGTGTTGCGAAACGTATGCTGTTATTTTGTATACTCGTTACGCAGTGCGTTTCCTCAAATATATTACATCATGGGTTATGCGTGCGCTACCACCATTTCAACGCTCCAAACTAATAACTAATCTTATGATTACTGGTCTCCAACAATAACTGTAGGTATGATTACTCGTTCTCATGAAGAAAAATATTTTTTAAGTAAATCCCGTTATTTCATAAAGGTTGATGAACACGAATCAATACCGGGGAACTCGAATTCGTAGTCTGTTTCTCAAAATTCTCTAATTGTTTTACATTCGGGTATGCTATTGTAGAAGAGTACACAATCAAAACAAGGGTATGATTTGAAGAAACTGAATGCAGATTCAAACTCTCCGAATCCAATTTTCTTTCTTCGACTTCCATGAAATATCGCTATTTACTCACAAAAAAGAAACATTTTTCACTTAATTTTTAAGTGAGTTACGCGTTAAAATAAAAAAATTAAAACTTAATGTTAAGTATTACTTGACGATATGAATTTCTTTTTTATTAATATTGAGTGTTAAGTGAAGGCACTTAATAAGTTCACTTAGTTAAGTGAAATTAAAACCAAGAGCTTACCCCTCAAAAAGAGTAAGGAAAATCTTCCAAAATTTTTGGAAGTAAGCATGTGTCAAAGAAAAATTTTTATCGCGTGTGAGAAAGAGTAGATTATGGGCTATTGTCCCATGAATTTATCTCGATTTTCATGATTCCGAGCAAGAGTAGCTTTATGAGGGAAGAGATGATGATTACGCAAGGACTGGGATAAGAGATGTGAAATATTTCTAGACTTCTTCAAACTTTCCAATTTCCTGGGTAGCAACACTGCTGAATGCAAACTAAGAATTAGATTCAGCAGCCGATGGGAAACTCCACGTACCTTCACATTTGTCATTTTTCCTTTAAAAGCATTTTGTTGATTGTGACAATTCAATTTAAATTCGCAATGCAAACGTTTTTTTTCAGGGGTATGTATGAACCAATGATGATGAATAGAGTAGTCAATAAGTATAGAATCATGACGAAACGAATAAAGTTCAACTAGATGCTGTCGCATTTCCTCAGTTCTGTAACAGTATTTGAAAACTTCTTGTCAGATTCATTCATCAAAACTTGTTGCTTTTGATAAGATTCCTTCTCATCTAAAAGTTTGCAGGCTTCTCGTGTACTGGATACTGCACTTGAATCGATAAAATCGACATTTTAAAATGTTTAATTGTCCGATTTTTCAATGTGCGTATAGATTCGGCAGCAAAAGCTACGAGTAACCAGCAGTTTTCACGTTTCTATACACAACATCAAAGAACAATTATTAATGGAACACGCAAAAGCATGCTTGATCTACTTTTATAGTGAGAATATTCCATAAAGTGTAGTCACAGTTTAGAAGCTCATTGAAGACCAATTAAATATGTTGTACCTTCCAGTGTGAATATCTGTTTGCTTAGAATTGGCTAAATTGATCACTAATCTTTGTTACAGAACTTTTAGATTACTATTAATCGTTAATCATATATACAGATTGGCGAATGGCTGCATCTAATGATACATCATCGATAAATCCATCTTCTGATGAGAATTTGGAAAAAAGCATTGTAAACGATGATGAAATCGAATCGATCATAAACGAAATTAAAAATGTTTTATCATTAGATGATGGCGAACTTACAGACAAAATTATTGATGACTTGTTGGACAACGGTCGACAATCATTAGCGAAATATAAAGAAGATATTATACCCAAAGTCTATAAAGAAGTAATGAGCGATAATGATACTATATTGATTCCTTTGATCAAGAAGTATATCGAGAGAGAAGCGGAAATAGGTTCTATGGAAACCTATCCATGGTTCATTTCATTTCTTAATGCATATAAAAATGGAGAAAATCGTGTGATATATGACCGTGTTTTTACTCGCTCTGCAATTTATGGACCTATATATATGAAAAATAATCCATTATTGTCATTTGTTTTACAACTTCTCTTCGAAGGCATTGATGATCAGTGTTTGAAAGAAACAAATGTCTTCGATGATTTATGGTTCTCGGTAACCAACGATGGTTTAAAATCAATAACAAAATATTCCGACTATATTATTGAAAGTGTAATGAATGAACAATTAAAACGTGACTCAATATTGTTTCAGGCATTACGTGAATATTATCGTGAAGGGGTACTTTTATCGTTAAAAGAAAGCAATATTACGGACAAGAAAAATTTATATGATTTAGCATTAGACGATATTACTGAGCAGGGATGGTTGACTGATTTGAAATCTATTGAAGAAAGTATAACACCGAAGTCTTATAAAACTCTATTGGAAAAACTTCGTACTTTTCATCAAAAGCAAAAACCAAATGAAAGTAAAAAGTCGGACGCAAGAGACGCTCATCAAACAAAATCTGATTCACAGTCAAAATCAACGTCAAACAAAGATCAAACGGCGTCTAAGGAAAAGCAAAGTAATCTATATTTCATTGGAAGTTTTTCTAAATTTTTCCACTCAAAATTCTTAATGACAATGATGGCAAAATGACCTCGCTATTATATACAAGAGAAATCGATAATTAAGTTTCTTTTTTTCGTAATTTGAAAACTACCGAACTTTGAATCTTTTAAACTGCAATATCAAAGAGAAAAACAACAGATCTCGGTATTCCGATCACCTTCCAAATGTTCAACAAATTTTCTCTACTTTCGACACAAATTCTCAGAACGATACATGAATAAAGACGTAGTTAGAGGCAGAACCATCATTGTGAGACGAGGACTGTGTTCTATATTGTAGAAGAAATAGATTCCATTCACCAGCACAATTATGTTTTATTCTTATATGTAGTTTTAGAAAAATAGAGAAAGTGACCTTACCATAGAGTAGATGGATTTTGAGACACATATAGCTTTATTATTATTCACCGAATTTCGAGAGAAACTAGGTCATAACACCTGACGAATTATCTTCACTCGATATCGATCACATAAAATTGGCATACTTAATAGTTAACAGACGGCTCAGTTTTATATAAACTTTGATGATGGATGTCAGTAAATAGTCTTCCAACTTGAATTCGTTTTACTATCAATAAGATTAGAACTTCTACAGTGTCGTACATATACTATGTCATTATATGTTTAAGCGGCTCTTATTCTTTTCTCGGTACTGCTTCCCAAAATTATCTTCAGTTCCTAATAATCATGTTTGAAACATGAGAATGTAATTTTTAGATTAAACTACATTTTCTCCATTTAAACAGAATCTTGCCGTGTATTTTTTTTTGTGTCAAAGTTTCGAAAATTGTAAAATACATTGAGGTTTTGACGAGTTTAAGAAGTCAGGCGAAATCTGCAAGTCTTTCGAGTTACTGGTAATCGTTTTTGAAAAATTGACCATCATAATCAAAAAATGTGGTCTTCACTTGTATATCTAATAATGAACATTTTCAGTACGAATCTTTTTAAACAAGCTAACGAACATAACTTGATTGGAATTATCAAGCGACAATTAATAGGATATAATATCATCATAAATGAAGAAATATTTCATAACAACTCTTTCTTTTAATTGATACATTTTCTGAAGCGACTTTGACTACTATTTGATATCTAATAATAATTCTGGTATAATGAGGTTTTGTGAAGCACGACCTGAAACAAGTGTTGAAGTGTTTAGGGGGAGAAATTTGCATCCATCCCTTCCTCCACAGACCGTACAGACAGGACCTTGAACCTATCATAGACTGTAGCAGACAGGCCTCAGGAGCCATCATAGACGGTGATAAAAGGCTTCAAGGAAATGTCAGAGATAATATATGACTAACATATGATTGGAGTATATATGTAGTATTATCCTGTTCAAGCTCTGCAATGTAAAGTAAGCCATGATGAAGAAATGTACGCCTATATGCATAAAAAACAACAGTTTTTAGAACATTGAAAACAACAGCTACGTCGTGTTTCACATTTTTAATCCTGCAAGGAATTGCGCTAACAGCTTTTATTATACCTTTCGAATATGAGATAAGTTCAAATTATTTCACAAAGTCTTTGAGATTTCTTCACACTAAACAGTTTTGATAATAGGCTGTTGTTTTATTTCAAATTTAATACAGAGACATAAACCAAAAATTAAATTAGCTGCCGGTTTGCTTTAAATCTTGAGCAAAAATGCAAATCTATATATTCATCAGCACTGATAAGTTTATGTACATAAGAACATATCTCTGTGAAGAAACAAAACTTAGATATACAAAATTAGTTATGAACTCAAGGCATTACACATAGACATGCAGATTGACACAAACATAAGGAATTCAGCATAGAAAAAAATGCGTAAATAGATATACACAATTAACTGAGCGTACAGTAAGAGTTTTCACACGAATAAATTGCTTAGACATAAAATTAAGGCCTGATACAGCGAATAAAGAGATTCTACATAGGAATAATGAGCTGAGTAGAAGGTTTAAAAGTTGTGAATAAAAGCAATGGATTAAAGATGGAAATAATTAATTAGAGATTGAAACAATCAACAATATTAGATTGAGTGTGTTGAACCAACTGCCTATTAACAGGAAGAAGTCGTTTTTGTGAAGAAAGGAAACTTGAAATACAACCATATCTTGGAAACTTGAAAATTTTAGAATGTGATGAAAGTGAATCTGGTAGTTTCAAAGAAGAATCGGCTTCATCATTCACGGCTCGTGCTGGCTTTACAGCTGTACAGAATGCATGTCAAATAGAAGCATTGAAACTTCATAATACATATAGAGCTCGACATGGTGTTCCTGCTCTAGTTCTTGACGATGATATTAGTAGAAAAGCTCAAGCTTATGCAGATTATTTGGCGAGAAGTGGTTTATTTCAGCACAGCTCAGATCGAAATAACCTAGGCGAAAATTTATTTGCCAAATGGAGTACAGGATCACTGGAAAATACTGGATATGGTAAACATACTTCATTGAAATTTTTTTTTCCTCAATGAATTCTTTTATATGAAATAGGTAAAACAGCTACTGAATCATGGTACAGCGAAGTTCGGCATTATAATTACAGTTGGGGAGGCTTTTCAATGTCGACAGGTCATTTTACTCAGGTTGTTTGGAAGAGCACCAAGCAACTGGGCGTAGGAGTAGCTTTTGGAGATGGAGGACGAAAAGTTATTGTCGTAGCACAGTATCGTCCGGCTGGCAACATGAGGGGAGACTTTCAGCGAAATGTTTTACCTTCACGTTAATCTTCATGTTCAAGACTACAATAACGAATTAAAATATCGAACTCACATTTACTGATTAACTCATACTTTCTGTCTTTTAGAAAGATCTACGTAATTAACTGTTTATACTCAATCCTAGTATTAATATGATTAATATTGATAATTGTTTCCCTTATATGCTTCTCCTAAGAACTCAGTAACACAAATACTATTCGTTCCTGTGACTCGTTTCACCCTCTACTGTATATGCAGCTCTGTCGATGTTACACGCTGTTTTAAAGCCTTCAGCAAAGCTACTATCTAAAGTTTCAAAGGTCAGATAGATATGAGTACATTAACATTAGCATCCATTTAATCAAATTGATACCCACCTATCGATATTCAACAGAAATCTATAGAACTATACCACTGCAGTTATATTCGTACGAATCCAAAACAAGATATTATATTCAATTTTTCAGAGCTCACATGACAAAGTAAGTTCGCAGCAGTCTTGTGAAAATGCTGCATAAATACGAAAATTTTTATTTTCGCAATGAGTTTCACCATTCGAGAGCTCGTCAAATGTTATTCTTAAATCTAAATTTTTAGCTCTTTCTCAAAATCCTATCAAGAGATATACAGTGATCTTTGAATCTACCCTCACGTGTGATGTTATAAATATGACAAATTTTGCAGAACTCGATTTAGCACTTTACTAGAGAACTGAGTGACCACGATTTTTGGTCACGATTACGGCCACGAGAACTTTTCAGATTTAGCTACGACCACACTAATAAGGCTTTTGAAAAAACTTTCCTAAACCCTAATATCATCAAAATTACCTTCAGTTCATCAATTAGCCGCGATTTTTTCGAAAAAACTGAAAAAATTTGACAAATATCTTGGATTTTTGCATCATTTTGGACTTTGCCATAGTCATGATCACAAGAGACCTGATCACAGTCAGGAAGATTTTCTGAATTTAGTCACGGTCATGGTCACGCCTCACCATGATCGTAACCGTGACTCGTGACCACTTTGCAGACTTCTAAACTTTACGATGGTATGTTTTTCCATCGAACATCCCGCTTTTTAGTATCATTTAATGTATCTTGATCAGATCTTTTAAATATGGGCGTGATCAACTGACCTGATACTCCAGTACTTTTTTTGTACATGCAGCTTCTATAATATATCAGACAACTATGATTTTTTAACCAATTATAGTGCTGGTATAATGCTGATGACCTGTCAAGGATACGGGGGTCTATGTCTTATTTGAAACCAAAATAATCAGGTGTCTTCGCAAAATCCGTTCGTAAATACTACCAGTTTTTTTGAAGACACCTGGTTATTTTGGTTTCAAATAAGACATAGACCGCCGTATCTCTGACAGATCATCAACATTATACGAGCACTATAATTGGTTACAAAATCATAGTTTTCTGATATATTATAGAAGCTGCATGTACAAAAAAATACCGGGATATCAGGTCAGTTAATCACGCCCTATTATCATGGAACAAGATCCTCAGATATAAACTCCACCTAAAGCGCTCGTTTTTACTAAAATATATTCCATTGTCCGGAAAGTCCGTGCAATTATATCAAAAAAGTGTGTTTGAGGTATTTTGCTTACAGCATCGTATGGAAAGTGTATCGTTACTATGATTCACAGCTTTATATAGTCATTACGAGTTTTCTAAGATTAAAATTTGTCTGTGTTCACATAGTGTTGAGACATGCACAAATATTAAAGATATGCAAACATCACAAGTTGAATATTTCCTGACATGATTTATTGGATTTTTCCAGCATATCGTCATATACTGTACAAGGGACTTTTCCAATATACTTCTATACATCTATCTTGTTTTATCTACAGTTTTCATAACCATGTTGATTTATCTGTCAGATATGTCGAACATCGAGCAGTCATAAAATTTTTTAGTCAAAAGAGACTACATGCTGCAGAAATTACTAAGGAGCTGAAAGATGTTTATCAGGATTGTGCTCCGGCATATCGCACAGTTGCAAAGTGGGTGACAGAATTCAAGGATCCAACAAGTGGTTTCGAAGATGCCTGGAGAAGTGGTCGTCAGGCAACAACAAGCACCGAAGAAAACATTGAAGCTGTGGAACTTATTGTAATGTGTGATTGACAAATCTCTGTCTGACGTGTAGCAGATGAGTTAGACATCCCAAAAACCATAGTCCACGAGATTATAAGTAGCCACTTAGGCATGCGCAAGGTTTTCGTACCTTGGATTCCTAAATTGGGTGTGGGTGTGGGTGCGGGTGTGAGGGTGGGTATGGGTATGGATGTGGGTATAGGTGGGTGTGGGTCATGTCTTTAATACATTCCACACCCACACTCTTAAGTCTCTGCGTTATTTTATGGTAAAATTTCCACAATAAACGATTCCAGTTAAGACTTGTCCCTATGTAAAATTTCAAGTCAAAATGTAATATTTTAGTTTTGATTAATTCATCCAAAGAATATCACATTTTGTTTTTGGTGATGTCTCCTGAATTTGTCTTTAATTCAGGTGATTTATAACATAGTTTCTAAAACCTATAATGGTCAACTTTCATTAGTCCAAGTACATATAATGTCATAATGGTTTCCATAAGCTACAAAGAAAATACATTGATGACTTGGTTATACAAGAGAACAAAGAAATTTCAAAGATATGTTTCATATACGCAATATATTTCTTGAGTAAAAAAAAACTATAATGATAATATTTGAAAAGAAAAGAAGCAAATTCAAGAATTTAATAAAGTACAATTAAATTAAAAGTCATGTTTAAAAACACTTTAATACATTAAACCAAAATAGCATGTTAAAAAAGAAAAATAAAGTTTTAACAATGCAAAAAGAAAAAAACAGAATATCGATTTTAACACTAGAAACAAAAACGAGGCGAAATCTAATACTATTCGAATGCACACAAAGTATAACTATATAATTCTTTTACATTCAAATAAAAATTTCAATTAGTTGTTTTGTTTTTTTTGTATAAATCACAAATAATCACTAGATAAAAGAATTGATTATATACGATATGAATATTTTCTTGTTGGTTTTTCTTTTGAGTTGTGAAAATGTTGTTAGTACGATCCAATAAATGGGGCCAAATTGTGGAACTCACAAATTCTAACTATTAAATATTTCTGATATTTTATTAAATCAATTAATAGAATTTATTTTAAAAAATATCAAAATAAATGAACAAATCAAAATGATGACAATTTTTACATTCGATATACATGCTTCGAAAATATTTGTATTTAGAATTTTCTATTCTACAAAATATATTTAATATTATTACGTTAGAAAAACTTATTTATATTGACAGATAGATCTTCAATACATAAGTTCTACTTCTTTTGATAATAGAATATACAATAAATGTCATAGGAAGCAGTAAATATTATTTTATGCTTTCTTTCATCGGTTCAACCATCATATTAGCTTGTTATATAAATTTTAAGCTTGCGAATAAACCATCATTTCTCTTGACGACTTTCGACATATACTGTTAGGTTATACCTAAACTTAGAATTCAATTCGTTCATACTTTTCAATATTCGTAGCCTGTTAGATCAATAGTACCACCCATTTCCCTACTGATTGATTCTTTTGCTGAATTAAATAACAAAATCCGAAAAATTTACACTAGTTAGAATCTATAGTAGAAATCTTAGGTCTATAAAATGTTTAGAAAAATTCTAGACTGATCTAAGAATCGGTACTATTGAAGTATCTTTTCTCCTTACTAGGAACATGTATCGAATGCTTTTTTGCCATCGAAATGGACTCAATAATATTTAGCTTTCCTTCTCTCACTCCTAACTACTAACAAGGGAACATTCCCAACTGATTAATCGCTTTTGACCTGATATTTTGGTCATAGGTAAGGGACCACAATACTAAAAAAACCCTAAGAGGATTTAGGCTGCTGGGCCTTTGGGGCTGAGTTATGACCGTTTTACTGGATTTTTTATCTATGGCACCGGGTTACCTGTAAAAGTAAATTATCGAATTTCAACCTGAAATTTTGTCCATGAAGAGCTCTAAGGGCCACTAAAATACTCTGAAAGTTTCAGACAAAACGAATTCATCCTTCTTCAGATATTGAATTTTCAAAATCCAACTATTCTGCAGAAAAAATTAGCAAAATGGTACTATTTTGAAAATTCAACATCTGAAGAAAGATGAATTCGTTTTGTCTAAAATTTCCAGAGTATTCTAGTGGCCCTTAGACCTCTTCATGGACAAAGTTTCAGGTCGAAATTCGATAATTTACTTTTGCAAGTAACCCGGTGCCATAGATAAAAAATCCAGTAAAACGATCATAACTCAGCCCCAAAAATCCAGCAGCCCAAATCCTCTAAGGGTTATTTTAGTATTGTGGTCCCCTACCTATGGCCAAAATATCAGCTCAAAAGCGATTGATCAGTTCGGAATGTTCCCTCGTAAGACCTAGGCGAAAATTTCAATTTTAAACATACATCCACAACTTTCCTTGAAAAAATATGTGAGTTCCACAAAATAATCGTCAAAAAAAGAATCTATAATTGTGTTTACTATGCCAACATTTGTTAACAAGTAATAAATATATGATATGCGTTTTGTAGAATTGAATTAACGTAATACACAACATGCAAAAAGAAGTATTTAGCAAGAAAACTGATTCATTTTGCATTAGTATTTCACCGGGACAAACAAAGATTGGAATAAATATGCTAATACTGAATTAAAAAAATTAAAGGAAAAAGCTAAAGATTATTTTTTCGATATCTTGCTGTATAGGGAATATGGGTCTTTTTTTTGAGTTATGAAATATTTTTTTTTAAGTGATTCCTTATCAGAGTTCTCAGGATTCGGATAATTTTGAAAATGCATATTTGTTGAAAGAACAAAAGATATTAGATTTTGCCCCTGAATTTCATTTTTATCAATTGTCTTTTGTCCAACTTCCAATATTTGTTCTAATGATTCATCTGCATACAAAAAAAAAATTTAAGAATAA